GACAAGCACGCGACCATAACGAAAACCAGCTATGCCGCACCCTCAAGAGGCCCCGAAATCCAATGTAATTGAGCGCTACCGATTCCACGTACTCCAACTCACTATCCCACAATAGAACCCCACCGAAACAGAAACCAGCAAGCCATCACTAAGAAAAATGAACAAGTCATCGGGAAGGCGATTAGTGAAACGTACAACTCATGGGCTTATTCTTCGTGAAGGATGGAAGAAAGGACTCAAACCGAACAAACGCTAAAGCCCCTAACGCCCCTAACAAAAACTTCACCAAATGCACCGAAATAAGAGAAACACTACAACCTAAACAACCAGACAAATGGAAGCAGAACGACATGAATCAGCAAAGCCCCACCATCTTCATAACGATACAAACCACACTGAGGAGATATTTCCGAAGGCCAATAGATCAAACGAACAGATGAAAAGAAAGGCTTGGAAAAAGGCAGATTTGTTACGCAGTCCTATCTCGCGAGAACAAAAGCTAGTGCACCACCACTTTAGATACGCCTCAAACTTTCACTGCGAGCCTTCCCTACGAGTCCAAACCTCACCCAAACCACAACCCAAACTTGAAACACCGATCTCAACCTTTAACCCCTCAGAAACACAAACCGCACAAACCAAACTAAAAACCCTCACTAGACCAAAACGCCCAAAAAAAAATAAAACACCAGACCTAAGGCGAGCCACCCGCAAAGCCAAAGACTCCACGACCCAGTCACCACCCACACTCACTACCAAACCTAACTACTGGTCCAAACCCAACGAGACCGGTCCCCAAACAAAGCCGAAGTCTCGTTCCCGAAACCTACACCACTAGCAACATCTTCGAAGCCTCCACCATTCCATCGCCTCAAGCTTGTTCGTTTTTCATGATCGTATCATAATCAAGACTTGTGGAAACACCCAATCTCTTTGGAAAAGAATCGGGTATTCTTGGTTTTGCAAGACAAGAGGTGATTGCGATTTATACCTTAAATGGACCATCGTGTTAAAACACACGCCAACTAAGTAAAAGTATGAATTTTCTATCTAAATTTTTAATTTTGCGTACAAATATATCTTATTTGTGAAAATGTTATACAATTTTATATTGATGCGTTTTCAGAGTTTGTGTGTCAAGTCCAGAAAAATGGCCTCGGTTCAAATTAGAAGTGGTAGAATTCAGATAGTTACGAAATGCGTTTTGGGAGTTTACGCTGGTGTACTCTCCCAGGGAGAGATAATTTTATATTATTGATACTTATTGGTTAACATCTAGAGGATTTGTAATGCGTATGATCAATATACGAAGTACATTGCCTAACAAACGAAAATCAGAATTGTAGGAGAACTGGGCCTTTTTGAAATCTATCAGGCCCAGCCCAAAAATATATTCTGTCTTGGGTTTTATAAATGCGAGGCTCTTGTCGTGCCTATCCTCTTCGTTTTCGATTTGGGAGAAAGAAGTGAAATCCTAGTTCTCTCCATAGCTCCGACGAAACCATGCCGTGGAAATACCCCAGTGAGATCTCTCTCTTTCTCTATATATTCCTCGAAATTGTTTTTGATTGTTTTTCTTGGTTTTGTAATTTGGTTATCCGTTTGTCGCAGTCGGCAAGACATGCGTCGGTAACGCAGCCGTCTTCTGGGACGTGGAGGATTGCCCAATCCCAAGACGTGTCTTTCCTGAGTCGATTTGTCAGATTATCAAATCTCCTCTTGAAAAGAAGCGTACTCGTGGTATTATGTCAATCAGGGCTTTTGCGATGATGGATAACGATACTATCGACGAAGCAGGCGATCCTCTCTGCTACGCCGGAATCAGACTCGTACACGAAGATTCAGGTTCGATAGTTGATCAAATGCAAAAAGAGATTCTTATTTGGGCCCTCGAGCATCGTCCGAAACTTGGTGCCCAAAATCGTGAACGACCGAATTTGGTGGTTATCGCGAAAAACGTCAAAACAGAGTCGGATTTTGGCAGAATGCTTTTTTATTTGAATTTGAGAAATTACAATGTTATCGCAGTAGTGCCTAACGAGGTCGCATGTCCATATGCAAACTCGGTATTGCTTTGGACAAGCTTTTTTGATTAACTAAAACCTCTGATGACAATAATAAGTTTGGTTTTGTCTACTGTCGTTTCATCTTTGTCATGTTAAACGCTGTTTTGGTTTTGTGCACTGTCGTTTCATCTTTGTCCTGTACTTTTATCTTTGTTTAAATAAAATTTAAAGTAAAAGTTGATGGAAAGTCATAATCTTTGTTACCAAATTCTCAATTGTTTTACAAGCTCACATGTATCTGAGCTACAAGTACAAACTTGCAGTCACTCGGATTTGGTCTCTTCCGAATTCACTTCCCAAGATCTGAAATTGTTCTTTTTTTTTCTCCATTATTTCTCCATGAATGCATTCCAGCCTTGAAGTCCCATACTCTGCAGGGTTTTCGAAAATGTTCTGCTGCTAAAACCAAAAGCAATCAACTTCATTCGGCCATGTCCTAATCCTATTCATGAACACATGATGTTAAGTGGTTGTTTGACTTTGGTAAAGTGAAGCTTACCTTGGCGTGACTGAATAACATATAGAGCAAGCCTGCAAAACAATTTTGACTAAGAAGAAGCTTAAACAAACCACAGACAAAAGCACCACCAACCAGCAAACAAAATAAAGAGTAGGAGGATAAAGAATGGATGGATATGTGAGAATTTTGAATCTGAACGATACAACGAAACTGCAGGTATAGATTATGACAGGAACCTGAATAATATCTTTTGATTAGACAATAGT